TCTGGTAAAATATTACCACAGATCTCAATTGCAATGCCCTTGGTATTCAGTCACAGTATTAGGACCATGTTTAGGACTTCCTATAAAACCCAAAACTGGTTGGTATCTCTTAAAAAAAAAAACTCACCAAAAAAAGAATCTCCCACAAACAACATGGAGAAAGGCAGTCACCTGAAATTCCCTGTACTTGTATATCCTTGTGTTAGGCCTAGTTCCACTAAGAGCCAAATTCAGTAACAGCTTATGGTCAAGAATCTCCCACAAACAACATGAAGAAATTCCCTGTACTTGTATATCCTTGTGTTAGGCCTAGTTCCACTAAAAGCCAAACTCAGTAACAGCTTATGGTCTACAAACCTCTGCCAGTTCTCTGGCAGTGACTGCAACAAGGTAATTTGAACATGCAAGAAAGTTTCCACACAATCAACTACAATATAACCTGTAACTGCACTCTAAATATCATCCATAGGACTATAGTATTTATTTTTACAAATAATTTCTTTACCAAATTGTTTTATCCAACCGTAAATAATTTACAAGCTCAAGACTTACAAAAAAATGGAAAAAAGATCTGAAGCACAGGCATCCTTCACAGAGAGAAGAGCAGGAAGAGATGAAAATTTGTTTTAGAAGTGCTTCCGTTCAGGGAAAAAAGTGTCATTGACCTGTCCTCACTTTAGCTTTTATTTTTCAATTCTGGAAGTTAAAGTACATTAGCAGGTGACAACATACTCAGGCATGTAGTGTGGCTCTTGGGAACGGCCCTGTGCAGGGCCAGGAACTGAACTTGATGATCCTTGTGCATCTTTTCCTGCTCAGCATAGTCTGTGATTCTGAGACTGGTGTGAGAAGAACAAGAGGAAGGTAACAGGCAGGGCAAACAAAAAAAAAAGCTTACAGATTTCATGAAACTTTCTATAGGGAGCAAATGTACATATAAGGAGGAACCTAAAGCATGCCTATTGGTCTAACTTCCCTGCTGAAAACTCCTGACTGGATAATGCCTCCAGCCACAGAGAGTGGCAGAGCCCAAAACACAGCCTTAGAGAACTTATCCACTCATTTACAAATGCACAGTAAATGGGTAACTTCCCTCAGCATTTTTTTAAATGCAAAAAATATTTTTCTTGATTCTGACAGACTAAGTTTAAAAATATTGCCAAACTTCAAACTCAGTACATACATAAAACATTTCATTGATAAAGAGCACACAGGTAATTATGCAAACCCCTGGTTCTTTATGCTAGCTTCATAGGATACCTCATAAAAGGGCTTTTTTTTCTTAATTAAATCAGCGAGCATGCACTCAAGCATCCTTACCATAGTAAATCAATTTGTGTGTGCATTGAATGAAAGCAAATTCAAGATATAAACACACCACAGAACTGATTTCACGTAAGGCATTATTATAAGCAGTGTGAAAAGTGCTTTTAAAAGCACTGAAAGAAACACTTTGACAGTGCTCCTTTAAAAATGGATTTAAAGGGAGGTTGATACCTTCTTCCAATCCATAGATAGATCTGTGCACCACTGTAGCAAAGAGCACAGAACTGATTTTTACTTCAGATGTACCAGTAAGATTAAATTGATCCTTGCTCATTGTACCATATAAAAATCAACAGAAAAGCTAAAGAACATGGAAAAACCAAGGGAATCTGCAGAGGAAAAGGTCACAGATACATGTAGTTTGATAAAAAAAGAGAAGCCTTCTCCCCAAATACCTACATGCACTCTTCCACAACCCCATTCTATTGTTATGAAAAGCTCCCTATGATTTTAAGAGACAAGAATATGCCAAAGGCAGTATATGTTGAGAAGAAATAACAGCTAGTACAGCCACAGAGTGCAGCTTACAAGGGCTGCTAGACCAGAAACCTACAAAGACAAACCTGATATTCCTACCAGTAACTTTGACATTTCCTGCTTTGGAGTATAATAAAAAAGAAGTTGGTCCTATTGAACAGGACCGGCAAATTTGGAAAGCACAAAAAAGCACACACAAAGTGCAATATTGATGTCCCCAGGCCTCCCACTGTGACCCAGCTGCAGCCAGGTGCCCCTTCCAACCCGGCTGCCACCACTGACTCAATGCCACCTCTCTGCCCTCTCAGGGACAGCCGTCCATAGGCAGCTCCAGATGTCCATCTGCACAGAATCAAACACTCAAGTTAGGGCTGTAAATTTCACGTCCCATAACAATAACAGCCAGTGAAACAGACTAGAATTTTTAAGCCTTTAGGCCTACACTCCTCTGCAGAGAATCCTTTCCAACCTTGCACTGCTCCGAAAGGGTCTAAAGGAGTGTGGAAGGCTGCAGCTGAGGAGCTGCTGTTTACACAGCACAGGTGTCACCACTTGCTCCCTCTTCCTCCTCACCTCCCTCCAGGCACAGCCTCTCAGCAAAATGCAGTTTGCACTGCCAGGTGAGCGGGGTCTCATCTCAGCTCCTCACCAAAGGCAGTCTGGGGGGGCAGGGAGCAAAGAGCAGGAATGAGGGGGCAGCCACGACAACCAGCCCCAGTGGCATCGATGGAAGGTGTCAAACTATGGCCTGAAAATCCCAAAGTGCCCTCGGGCGGTGGGGTGAGGGTGCCAGTGGGATGCTGGTCCTCTTCCCTTAACACAGGCCATGGACAGTTTTGGGGATCTACTGAAGGCACACTTTAGAACCATAAAATCACAGAACAAGCTGGGAGGGACCCATCAGGACCATCAAATCCAACTCCTGGCCCTGCACAGGACACTGCAAGAGCCACACCATGTGCCTGAGAGCGTTGTCCAAACATTTCGTTCTATCAGGCTGCAACTCTGTCAGGCTTGCCTGACATGCTCCGAAAGGGTCTAGAACAGTGTGGAAGGCTGCAGCTGAGGAGCTGCTGTTTACACAGCACAGGTGTCACCACTTGCTCCCTCTTCCTCCTCACCTCCCTCCAGGCACAGCCTCTCAGCAAAACGCAGTTTGCACTGCCAGGTGAGCGGGGTCTCATCTCAGCTCCTCACCAAAGGCAGTCTGGGGGGGCAGGGAGCAAAGAGCAGGAATGAGGGGGCAGCCACGACAACCAGCCCCAGTGGCATCGATGGAAGGTGTCAAACTATGGCCTGAAAATCCCAAAGTGCCCTCGGGCGGTGGGGTGAGGGTGCCAGTGGGATGCTGGTCCTCTTCCCTTAACACAGGCCATGGACAGTTTTGGGGATCTACTGAAGGCACACTTTAGAACCATAAAATCACAGAACAAGCTGGGAGGGACCCATCAGGACCATCAAATCCAACTCCTGGCCCTGCACAGGACACTGCAAGAGCCACACCATGTGCCTGAGAGCGTTGTCCAAACATTTCGCTCTATCAGGCTGCAACTCTGTCAGGCTTGCCTGACACCACTTCCCTGGGGAACCTTTTCCAGTGCCCAGCCAGGCTCTGGGTGAAAAACCTTTTTCTTGTCTCCAACCTAAACCTCCCCTGCACAACTTCAGGCCATTGCCTTAAGTCCTGTCACCGGTCACGAGAGTGAAGGGAACAGCGCCTGCCCCTCCGCTTCCCCTCTCGTTAGAGAAGGCTGGGTGCATATACATATATATATGTATATATTTTTATTATCATATTTTCAGGGAGAGTGCTGCAAGCGCCTTTACACGACCCACCATGGTATAGCTCGCAATCCTGTAAAGGGAGCGGGCAGAGCGGAACGCCCCGCAGCGCCGCCCGGGGCACAGCCCGGCCCGAGGGAACAGGAGAGACCCCGCGCTGCCCGCCCCGCCATGCCGGCCCCCGCCCGCGGGCTCCCCCTACCTGTCCGAGCAGCCGCCAGCGGGCTCGGGCCGCCGCCAA